TTGGACATGCTTTGTCAGTTGTCATTCAAACTTGTTACATAGATTATAAATGTTAGGATACATGTCCATGACGATTTATTTCGCAATTGGATCAAAGAAGGTCGACTGGCAGGCATCTTGTTTTTGTTTTTTTATGCGGTTTCTTGGACGTGCTCTGTCAGTTTTCATTCAAATTTGGCACATATATGTACTTTATACGTGTTAGGATGCATGTCCATAACAATTTGTTTCAAAATCTGGTCAAGGATTGCCGATTGACAGCCATCTGACATTTTGGCCTTACTACTATATTACCACAATTTATGTACCATTTTCATTCGTATTTGTGCCAAATACGAATGAAAATGGTACATAAATTGTGGAAATATAGTGCAAACACACTGATATGTATGATGTATGTGCCATACATCATACATATCAGTGTGTTTCATAATCAGATCAAAGATGGCCGAATAACGACTGTTTTTATTTTGGCCATATTACTATGACACGAAACACGTGTTTTGATGTAAATGAACAATTTGTTGTATACGCACCTTGGAACTCAAGTTTCAAGGACACGCTCGCGACAACCCCTCCGCTTTAATATGACGAGCACAAAGAGAACTTAACGGGGACTGTGTCATTTTCAATGACATGTTATCCATATAATTGTTGTCCATCGTTGCATTGTATTTTATATAAAAGATCTAATATATTTCGGTAATGTGATGATTAATAAAGTTAAGGTGATGTTTCAAAAGAAGGAGATGGAAAACCGTTCTGCATAGAGACGTATTCAACCTTTTACACAGTTTCCCTCTTTCAGCTGCCGTAATCCCAGTTTATCTCATATTATGCGTAAAATTAACTAAAGCTTCACGTGAGTGTATAAATAGCTACTGAAACGGAATTATGGTATTACCGTATATGAATATAATATTAACTGACCAGTTGGAACATTGTTTTACACTTTAAAATGTAATGAGTTTAATGGGTACTAAGCAGATGAACTGAGGTACACTTGATTACGTACAAAATGCGACACCTAAGCCACGTTTCTATCATTATAAACATGTGACATGTTAACAAAGTGATGTGAATTGATTACGTATGTAGGATGCGTGCTTTGGCAGAGCTTGGAAGTAGTTTATTGACACAAGCATACCTGGAGATTTGCAAACGTACAAGCATTTATCTGCTACCTGTGTTCACAGTAATATTTTTCGTTGTTTTGACTTTTTCCAGCATCGATTTATTTCGTCAACAGTGTACTACGTATAGTCATTATGTAGTTTTTGTGAATATTGCGTTTGAAAACTTATATATACGCGAAACTGAGCTATTGTAGTCATTTAATGTTTAGTAGATATTTTAATTGAGCCTAAATGTTATTTATCTATAATTTCAGAACACATGAACAAACAATCTTTGTTAGCAATGTAGACAATATTATGGAATCGGCGTTAACGACGATTTCAGCACGGTTACTAAAAAAACATGATCTCAAACACAATACAAGTATTAATCGTCAACATTTTCTTCTTCGTCCGCAAACCATATTTCCAACCGCCTCTGGGTCTCCAGGATTGCTTCAAAGTCACAATCTTTATCACTAGAACAAAAACTGTTCCTCGTACGAATGAATCCGCCACGTTATTAGGTGAAATAACAATAGTTATTGCGCTAGAGACATATTAGCTTGATTGGATTAAAACAGTTAGGATCAAAAACAATCTTGGCACGTATCCCACCAAAGGAAAGACCAAAACGGTCGTTAGTCCGTTCTTTTAGTGGTATGATGTCGACAAAGTAAATGAATTCATGTGTATCTCGAACAAGATATAGTTGTTAGTAAACAAAATTCACATAATAAAGATGTAATGTTCGTTATGGAACCTCATTTCCAACTTGTATTCACTTATTTAATATATACTCAAATATCTGGTCTGTGTCATATAAAAACCCACTTACCGACGAAGGAAAGTATGCGAAGTTAACAAAGAGACTAAGAAATACAAATAAATTAACGAAGTGGTTACTAAACATAACAAGTTTACGATTTGCAGTTACAACTATTATCGTCTTGTAATATTTGATTGGCGACAATACTTGGAAATAATTGCACATTAGATGTCGTTACCAATGACGTGGGAGACTATTTGACCATTTATATATTCATTGAAAGTTACAATTGACAATCGAAGAATGAATTAAGTTGTTTGAGATAGGAATTGAAATTGTGTAACTGATATGCAACATGTAAAATGTTATATGTGTATAGTATTAACGCAGCTATCAGTGAAATTGAAAAAAAAACATACTGCACGTATAATATCATTTCACCAATTGTAATGGACCTAATTTTATCGTCGTTGGTGCTCATATATTTTTATCTATCTCACATTGCAAATTAAACATACAAGCAGGAAAGGAATGTTGGTCTCATTCAGCTACCAATTTAGTAACAATCTAGATACAATCAACTTGTTTTAAATTGTATATTTATAATTGTATACAATATGCTTCATGCATGGATCGACCATTTTGTCTTTACAGCATATGTCGACGTCTCTCTGGTGTGTGCATGGCTTATAAAATAAAAACGTAATTTTAGAATGCTGTTACTTGTCTATGAATATAATTACCTCAATTTTGATCCCAATTGGGAATAATTAAACAACTTTGAAAAGATGTGCTTACTAAGGATACAAAGATTTTGCTCCAGTCACGTATATTGAGTTTATTGCTCTGTATTTTTCCAACTAATTCCGCGCAGGTATGCAATTATATGTATACCCATGGCCACCTGTGCTGTGTGCCCAAATTACAATATTATATATTATACTATTTATTATATAGCCCATGCTATCGTGGTGTTTAAACATAATCCTGCGAAAGTTACTCGTAGTTTTGATGTCAGTAGACACGAGGAATTACCGGTTTTGTATCAAATCGCGCCGATAATGAGAATTCACGCTATGTTGGTGGTAATCACGAGCTTGTGTAGCGATTCTGTCTCTTCGTGATACTTTCTCCAAAACGCATGGACTTTTTTCATTAACAGTCGATTTTTCTGAGTGAATGAATAATAACTCTGATAATACGCACATCTTCTGGTGGCGCTTGTAATGAAAATATTCGATAGAATATGACTTCAAACTACGTGATATGTATTTACAATTTGTATGATTGTCATTGTTAAGATACGCACGTTATTCAAGTGATAAGTTACATAATTGGACACGTGCCTACTTATGCTTTTAAAAAACCGACACGAAGGGAGATCTATTCCCCCATCGTATGTTGACATAGACCTAGCCTTACAGGGAAACTGTAAGTGACACATTAAAATATATACTCGTATGCCGAACAAAATAAGAGATTTCCATATTTAAAACAAATTACACTTTCATGTCATTACTAGCAATGCTGTCATGGCGAGCGAGTTCATTTACCCCCGTTTTGCCATTTTAATATATATTTATGACATGTACATTGATAAGATGAGTCACGTTTCAAATAAATTTATAACTGGGAGAATATGACTACATCTTACAAGTAATCTGAGAATGACGAAGCGACATCGTTTTTAATAATAAAATAAGTACATTATAACTACTATACGAGACAGCAATGTTTACACTTTTTCGCTGGAGAGTGTAAAACTACATACACGGTTTTGTAAATATAGACTTCAGCAGTGGCCTACTGAAACTTATGTATTGCTAAGCCAATGGACCTTAATTCCCGCGTGATCTCACAAGCCGTTAAAATGGCAAAGACATTTACAGAGACAGTAGTATTGATAAGCTCACATGCTTAACATTACGCCTACCTAAAGTTGATAGGCATGACCAGTGAGGTGTAAAATGGCACAAGTACATATATAAATCACAACCGCTTTAATTATAGATTGATCTACATTACTAGTTGCCGGTTTCAGTAGAATGATTTCCATTAATTCCGGAGTAGACAGATGTCAGTAGAGTGAGACATTACATTTATCGAATGCTAATAGTCATCTAATACCTAATCAGATTCGCAAGCATATATCAATTGTATGTTTCCAGTGTACTCGTAACTTTTTTTATGCTAGATTAATTACTGTGCAACACTTTGTGGAAAGTGAATACACTTACAAATCAACGAAAACTTAATTAATCAAAGACATTTGAAAACAGGACAGACTACTTCGACAAACATGAAAGTGAAACGAAAAAATGTTCCATGCGAAGTAATATTCTATTACGTAAGCGTGCACAACCACTATATCTCAGATTATGTAGCCCATTTTTGAAAACTTGCTGCATCAAATAAGTTTCGAACAAAATAGTTCAGTACCACTGTTCATATACTCTGGTGTACATTTATTTTTATTTTCGTTATGTGTTTCCTGCTGCCCGCATTACGTAGCATATATAAGTTACTTTTTGCAAAATACACCCATCAATAAACTTAATCAATATTTTTCTTAATTTTTGTAAATTTGTGAAATAGTCGACCATAATTATGCACATCGAATGTTCGAAATCTTGTTCAAATCCCAATAGACCTCACATCAAAGAAAATACCGAAGTAGCCTGCTACTGTATTGTCTAATGTCTTCGATTTAACAATCAATTTTCCACGAGTGTAACATGAATATTGTCACCGCTTATTTACACAGTTAATTTAATTGCTATCGTATTAGTTAAATGTTTCTAAATTACCCTCGCTCCTGTTGGACAAAAGTTGCCATTGTCCGCAAAATTTGCGTTGTATCCGACGTATATGCATAATGTCGGTATCGATGACAGCGTCATTAACGAGATTGATTTTCAATTCTCTGAGGTAACACATCCATATGTATGCGTTCACACAACTGATTTACCGTATTGTAAATGTAAAATTAATGAGCAGGTCCATCCGTCCCTTATTCGTTACTGTGCACATAATATAATAAATGGAGAACATTTTGTTCTTATATAAAATCAAATATATGTCAACTCCAATTGAATTAAAATCTAACAGATGTTGGATATAATGTAAAGTAATGCAATGTTTTTGGATGTAATGAAATATATTCTAAATATTTGTTTTTGGTTTGGAATATATATCTGAAGCAAAACCACTCGTGAACTCACAGATCTTTATGTCAGCGCAAAGCCTGGTGAAGTGTGGACTTCTGAAAAAAAACTGTCAATGTTTTTTTTAAAGTCAATGCAACGATACAATGCAGGATTGCACCTGATTGGTTACCGAACCTTAGACCATAACAGTCAGACCAATTAGAGAGCAACTTCTTTGTGTTTTTGACGTACCAAATTCCGCCTTATTTATACGCTTCAATTCAAGTGACCTTTTTACCATACACATCAACCGAATATAATTTACTACATGGCAGGGCATTCTTAGAAAGAATAATGACATGTGATTTGTTTAATATAAACAACATAAATACATTCATAAAACGTCTCGCCACACGATGGTGAGTTTTCATATGCGCCATCAGAGTTGTTAAAAAGGTTCAGTCAACAATAAGACAGAGAGTATTTTAACCGGCAGCAATCTTTAGTGTATGTCATCAGAGCTTACATTCCGTAGGGACTACTTCCACTGTCATCAGTACTATTATTTATTTAGACATTCAATTCACCTCATGTTGAAATAGATAGGAAAACGACATTTGAATGAAAAGAGGTAATGGTATCAGTATAGACTCATATAATAACGTTATCAGAGATACAAATTCGCATGAATCGATATGATGCAATACAATACAAGATTAACAAGTAGTGAAACGTGCACTCATCAAATATAGATGGCATTGCACATTTTAATAAACTATTGCAGCTTCTTTAGCTAATGTTCATCGATGTAATGGTGCGATTGTGAACTCTTAGTAATATATGTTACAGGCAATGCATTGGTGACAGCGGTGGTGGCAGTAAATGAACACATGCGAAGTGTAACCAATATGTTCATTGCACAAATTGCTCTTGGTGACATCATAATGCTGCTCCTGGCCATGCCGTTTGACATCATCAGTAAATACGTGTATGAAGTAAGTTATTTAATGAAATCTATTACAACAATAAACGAGATATGAATACTGCGATATTGAGATATTGTACACAAATTAGACCACTATTTTTATACATAGTATGTGTGTTCCAAGCAACAGTTCCCGCAGTAAGTAAACTTCAGCTAGTAGTTTCGGTATGTCCACTGCGTACATCACATACAATTTCTGATACCCAAATAACTACTGTTTAACCCAGTTTACGTATGTATTTGTGGTTATAGGATTGGAGTTTTGGTACTGTATTGTGTAGGAGTATGTCGTTTTGTAAGGACTATTCGCTAACTATCACTATAGTAACGCTGACAGTCATGGGTATTGATAGGTAAGTATTTAAAATAATTATGAAAATTGTTCGTTGGTTAGATAATTGATAAACATTATGCATTCTTGCTCATAAGAGTTATCACTGTGCATCTATAGATCATCAAAAATATATGTAAATGTATGTAACCATGGAAATTGAAACAGTGGACATGATGATGAGAACGAATGTAATACTATTTGAAGGGAAAAACGGGTCTCGTGGCTCCCTCTGCCTCAACGAGATCTCAGCGGCAATTTCCGTCTTAGGATATTGAATATTGAACTTCAAATTACCTATGTGAATCATTGCAAATGTGTTCTTACTTTTTAAAATCGTTTTTTGTAGGTGTTTTATACTATCCCGTGAACTCAGAACATACAGCATTCGGACTATGAAGAAGTTCTTCACTGTAGCAATAATCATTCAAATGCTCTCCGTGTCAGCTGCAATCCCAGCGACCATTTTCAGTGATGTGTGGCGTGAATCTACTCATACCCATTCAAATGACAGCACCGCCAATGCGTCAGTTCGTGTTTGTAAACATAATGAGGGGTCATCAAACTTGTTGCGGGTTTCTCTTTCGCGTGTTCTCCTGTTATATGTTCTACCATTAGTAATTATCAGTGTTTCGTTTACGAAGATCAACGCGTTTCTTAGATCGACGGAGGCCCAGGTTTTGCTCTCTGCAAATAAAAAGATCGTTTCTGCCTGTAAGAGGGCGCTACACTTACTTATTACACTGGTGGGATTATATACTGCTCTGCTACTCCCAACTGTCATAGACACAATAGTGTCATTTTTCATTAAAGGCGGTTTGTTATATGACAATAAGTGGTATTCTCTGTACGAATTCCTCGTGGATACCACATTATATGCGATATGTGTATATAAACCGGTAGTTTATTTCATCATGAGCGCGAACTTTCGACGTGGGTTCCGGGAGCTGAGTTGCTGTTCTACGCATAGCTCAGGGAAAAGCAGGATCGAGTGCGACGATGATGAGTCAACTTTGAACACCAATGAAATATGGTTCAACAGTGATGGCAGCGAAAGCAGCGTACAACACGATGTACGGGACAGCGTGTAATCTCAGTTTGGTTTTAAAATTGAATTCCAAATGGAGGATAAATAAATTTCATCAGTATATGTCATAGTGTGTGTCGAGTGATTCACGTACTGAGATGGTATAACGTATAGTTTGGTTGCGATCCAGTAATATCAGTTTTTGGCATCTGATTTCAAACCTTGTTTCCATAACATAATTACCTACGACGTCGTCTGGGTGTTCATGTGGGAACAGTTGTTTCATATTACCCAATACTTGAGGATCGGCACTTTACATAACAAAAGTAGACAGCACTCAGAGAAGATGCGGGCTCATAACATATTTATTCAACATAAATATGCATGTCAACCATCAGAGACACATTTTATTAGAACTTATCAATGCGTAGTTTCGACCGGAAACATGTATGGTAGCATTGTAGCACCTGTAGCATTGTAGCATTGATTTTAAATTGACTTTAAAGTGCCTGTGAAATGCCCACCACACGTTTCCCATTTTAGATCTGTTTCCCACTGAAATGGACAGTAATTGTTTTGTTGTTGACAATTTGAGATATTTCTAGTGCTGTAGCCACGTCAACCTATCCTGAAACGGTCGACTGATTCCGGATTTCCGACTCTCGCCGAAGTTAAAGTGCGTCATCTATTGCAAAAAATTGAGAGGGACTCATACTTTTGTGCCGTACTTTATAACACTGTGTCATTCAACATACTTTTGAACGATATACATGCTTCGGTCGCATTTTTTTCATTTTTTTTAAATAGTGTTTTTTTAAAGAAATAGATTCCGGACCAGTCCATGATTACCGAGGCAGAAAACAGATATACGTCGTGTTAGTGTTTCAAATTATTTTTGCGTTTCTGAATATTGTTTTATAGAGATGTAGCAATAACTTTGATAGTGACGCAAAATGAAGCGTCGGACAAACAGGAAATTACGCAGCAATTACACACTGCTAATTCTTTTTATTTTCGCAGGCTAAACATTTCTGAATTGTTCGTTGACTGGTGTTGAATGTTGAATTCACACCTCAGTAACCTTTACTTGCTGTTTGTTCTGCCTAATAATTTATGGAATAAGACTTGGGTTGTCAATGTGTTTCATTTTTAATATGATGTCATTTATGACAATCGGGCTAACTCGAATCCACTCTGAATCTGTCTGTATATTATTAGTCGTTCTCAATTATTTCTTGATATCCAATCTGACGTCGCTATTCACTCACTTGTCCTCATCGCCCTATGCGACAATCCTGATATTATGTGTACATTATGGTCCATTCTTTCTCGACGAGAACAAGTATACATAGGTGGCAATTCAGATGAGAAAACCGTACAAGAAATGTACCTTATATAC